CACGACGTCACCGATCTGACCGTCCGGCTCTCACACAGATCTGTCTTAATGTTAAACCGTTCCTTTGACGAACACAACATCGTGAAAAGAAGCTCCTCCCATCACGTGACGGAACTGAGCCGAAGGATCTGAGCGCGATCAGAAAACAAAACAAACGATGCGCCTGCGAGCCTGGCGTCCTGAGTGGGGCAACAGGAAATCTAAACAAGAGGTCGGGAAAGGTTTGACTCAAAGGCACCTGTTCAGGTACAGCGCTGGAGTCCGGAGGCGCTCGCCACCTCCTCTCACAGAAGCTCCATGTCACGCTGCACGCCCGTCAGCTCAGCTCAGCTTTTTACGGCGTCACAGGAACACCGCGTGAAACCGCGGGAGACGGTTCACGGTGCGTCACGGTGTTGATCGGCGGACTGATTGCGTGGAGTTGCAGCGGAGGAGGAGCTGTGGACGAAAGGTTTCTACGAGGAAGAGAAACCACAGCAACCAAAAACATTGGCGAAGAACAAAAGGAGCCAAAATGGCGCCCTGACGAACTCCACGCGGAAGTAGAATTTGCTCAAATGAGTAATTAAGAGAATAATTACAGGTGATGCTCCTCAAGTCACAACAAAGATCTCCCACACAGCGAGGTCCAGCTGGATTGTGGGTAATGGAGGGGGCGGGCTTAATAAGGCAGTTTATTTCCTGGTCACGTGACTTGAAACAGTATCAACAGCAGTTTGTTCCAGACTGGACTACAGGGGTGGGCGTGGCCACAGCTTGTCACACCCTGTTTTAAACCGCATCAACGAGCAGCCGAGCACCAAAGCAGACCAGCCAATCACAATCTGTCCAGCCTTGGATCTGGTTTCTGATTGGCCTGATCTGGATGAGAGCAGTGGAGTGCTCCGCTAACGGAAGGGCGAGCTGAGGCGGGGTGTCCTTTAATAAAAATAATCGTAAAAGCAGAGCTGAGCGTTAAAAGGTGCTGTAAGGACCGAAGACCAGAATCAAACACCTCCCCTGGAGGACTGGGGGCGGGGGGACGGCGGCGGCGGCGCCTCACTTCAGCAGAGCCTTGTAGAGTATCAGAGAGCGAGCCGTGGGCCGATCGTGCTCCATACAGAAGATTAAGTCCCTGAGGTTAACTCGTGTGATCCGCTGGCGGGGCTGCTGGCGGG